GGGCTCCCTGCTCGGCGGGGAGTCTGCTTCTCCCTCTGACCCTCCTCCCTCTCATGCTCTCTGTCTCTCATTCTCTCTGTCTCAAATAAAAAAAAAAAGAAAAAAAAGATTTATTTATGTATTAGAGAGAGAGCATGCACACAAGCTGGAGGAGGGGGAGAGAGAGGGAGAGAATCTCAAGCAGACTCCCCACTGAGCGTGAAACCCAGCATGGGGCTCAATCTTACAACCCTGAGATCATGACCTGAGCTGAAACTAAGAGTCAGACACTCAACCAACTGAGCCACCCAGGCGCCTCGGGAGAGAGAATCTTAAGCAAGCTCCATGCCCAGTGTGGAACCTGACACAGGGCTTGATCTCAGGATGGGGCTTGATCTGAGGACCCTGAGAGCATGACCTGAACTGAAACCAAGAGTCGGACACTTAACCAACTGAGCCACCTAGGCGCCCCCTACAAGGTGATCTTATTCATATTTATGTCCCTAGAGCCCTACACATAGTCTGACACATAGGAGGCGCTCATTAAATTAAAAATTTTGAAGTTAAAAAAATTTGAGAAGGCATATGATACAAATGTAAACTGTCCTAGACCGTTGGGAAAGCAGTGGGGAGCCTGGACTTGTTTGACCAATCCCCAAAAGCTAGTAAACATTCCCTTAGCAAAAAGTATTTTTAGGAGATGGAAAAGGAATGGAAATTCTGCTAACAGAAATGTATAGTGAGTATGTGGAACTTAATTTCTGATATTAAGAGTGGTAGTTATTCATGGTAGACATTTTCTAAAATACTGAAAAGCCTAAACAGGAAGATAAAATTGACCTATAATCACACTTGCTAGAGTCCTATGGTGAATCGAGGTTAGTATTTTGGTATACATCCTTCTGGTGTTGTTTTGTAGGCGTGTGTGTATGTGGGCGTCTAGTTTTTTTAAATAACAGCTTTATTGAGATACAGTTCACATACCATGGAATTCACCATTTTGATGTATACAATTCAGTGATTTTAGTATATTTACAGAGTTGTGCTGTCATTACCATTATCTAATTTTTGATTATGTAGTAGAGGATATTTGTATTTTAAGCCGAAGGAGGTGTGGCACAAGCAGTGGGAGAGAGAGCTAAGGACCATCTCAGTGCCTCTGAAGTAACATAGGGTAGACTTCCAACAATGCTGCCTACTGACTCAAAGGCCTGCCCTACGCCTCTTTTTAAACTAAAGAGGGGTTGTGAAGAATATTTGTTATCGAGTCCAAGTGCAAGACTTAATTTTTTATGGCAGCTTGAAATAAGCTAACAGAATACTGAATCTGAAATAAAGTGCATTCAGATTTACAGAGGAAAGGCACTAGGGAGAAATAAAAAGTTTGACCTTTTTATTTTAAGGAAAATGCTAGAATTCAGCTAACTGCTTTTTTTTTCTTTTCATTCCTTTATCATGATAGTTGCACTCGTCCTACAGAGCAGCCCAGTGTTGTGCCTTTGTCCATGACGTCTGTGATGAGGGCTTACCCTACCCTTTTCCAGATGGGATCCTGGATGTCATTCTCCTTGTCTTTGTGCTCTCTTCCATTCATCCTGACAGGTAACCGAAGACAAAAGGGCAAAGCAAATGTGTAAAGCTCCTTTATCAATCGTGGTTTTCAGAACTATCAAAAAAGAAAGTGACAATTCTTAAATTTATGATTTAGTGAACTACACAGTGTAGAACATGCAGCCTTTTAAATGCAGCTTTTCCTTTCTTCAGACTTGGAGAAAGAAACTGGTCAAACTGCTTCATTAGCTTTCTATCACTGTCAGAGAGAAGTGAGCATATTCTGGCAAGACACATACCTATTAAAAGTGACAGTGCTTCAAGGAAATTACAAATTCAGAACAGCCTAATAGACTCCCAAGAGGGAAATTGTACTTGGTGATCAGAAACAAACATCTTTGATTTAGCATCTTACTGAATGTTCGTGAAGAGGTAGGCTGTGAATCTGGTTTCACACCGGTCTGTCAACAAGCTTTAAAAATTTTGTTCTAAAGAAGTCCAGGGAAGTAGGGTACTCAAGATTTGCCAGATTAACCTTGGACCTTTATAATCTAAGGTTGGCTAGTGCCATCATTTAAATATTTATGATTTAAATTTTTTGTTCACACAATGTTTTGAAACAGTCAGCATGTCCAGAGAGGAAGCAGAAAGAGATATTACCAGCCATTAAAATAAAATAATCACTTCTGTGAAAATTTTGCCACCTCATATGTATTAAGGCACACTGTGTGGTGTCAAGGGTTGTGCATTTGTAAGTTTTCTTAAAATTGGTTTTTCTGCTGTGGTAGTAGATTCAGCCCCCGGAAAGTTCCTCTGCTGGTAGGTACAGACTTGACATCAACCAGTCTTTGTTTGATGAGTGTGACCCTTTCCCAAAGAAGCTGGGTTAACGTGTGCTTTTTCCTTTGCAATTACAAACTCACTAGGACCTTTTACAGTCCTTTTACTTCTCATTTAGAGATGAGCACTTTGATTGCTTGTTGAAAGACAAATTAAATTTCCAAATAAATCTGAATGAAACATATTTTTGCACGTGGTGAGAGATATCACATTCCATGAAGCTACGTTTTCCTCCCAGTTTCTATAATCTATGTCTTTGTGCTAATCTGTTTAGAATATTGGCATCATTCAGGTACTGGTAGAGAGATGTCATCTATGTATTTTGTTTCATAGTTAAAATAATGAATAGTTAAAAGGATGGAGTAGGTGGATAGAGAACAAGATTTTCTATTTTACACCTATAACAGGAAATGTTTAAATTCCAAATAAGACCACAAAAACACTACTTGAAATTAGTTTAGATAATGTATTTTCTCATGATTTGAACTGAATGTTAAAAAGAAGGGGAAGCAGATGTCTTAGAAAGATTACTGTTACCCTACAGTATGTTCATTCTATTTATTTATTATAAAATAAATTCAGATGTATCATGTCCCTAGCCACTTTCTTACCTATATGGAAATAATCTAAAACTAAGATGAATGAGTAGAAGGAAGGCAACAGTAAGTGAAAAGACAGTATCTTTAGGGTCATTTGGGACTGTGGTGGCATATTCAGCCCCATGAAAGTTTTAGAAAAGTGGCTTCTTGCCAGCTTGGAAAATCCATGCACAAATGAATGGTGAGCAGTTCTGCTAGACCTTGAGTCTGGGGGACCCAGCTTAAATGGGAATAAACCATAAGAAGAGCTAACTGTCCTTATCACTGAAATAAAAGAAAGTACAATATGTTTACCACAGATCCAAGCATAGTGTAGGCAATCAATATAATACTCCTTTTTTTAATCTCTTCTCTTCCTTTTCCTCACCCTCCATCTAGAGGTAGATGAGGATAGCAGAGTTGGCCCACGTCAAAGAAAGAAAGAAAAGGGGCCCTCTCCCATTCTTGTCTTGTCCATCTCCCCCAGCCCATGCCCACCTGCAGTCTTCAGGACTCTGGAACTTGGCACTGAGCCAAGCAAGATGGACTGATGAAGAAAAGCAGCTCCCCACCCTTGCCTTTACCTACAACCCCAGATGTTAAAGGATAGTTGGGAAGAAAGGATTTGCAGAGGGAGATGGCTGCATCTTGGCTCTTTGTTTTTCTGCATTTATGTTTCATATTTGTTTTAGTAGTAATTGCAGAAAGATATTTTTCTCTGTACATAAGACATTTATCCTGAAAGTGAATATTTTAAGGTTTAGATATGGTTTTCTTTAATTGCCAAAGCCCAAGACCATAAACATAGTGTGAAAATAACCTCTAACAAAATAAACAAGGAAAAATACTTTCCTTTTTTTCCCTTTCATGTACTTATGTTCCAGTTTTTTAAGAGAGCATTTCATTTAATTATGCTACCTCTTTCTGTTATATTTCTATCTTGTTTTCATAGTTACTTTCATTTTCTCACTATCTACTTCCTTCATAACCTGACATAAATCTGGCTTTTCACTCCTTAATTCCACTGAACAGTGTTTTCATTGGAAGGCATTTACAGATTATCTGATGCAAACTCCTCATTTTTAAAATAAGAAAATCTAGAAGCTTTAAGTAGCGTGGATAAAGCAGAGATGGCAAGGACTCAGCACACGGGCTGCCATTTACCATTCTCTGCTCAGGGCAGACACTCATAACTGATTTTGTACCCTGATTGTCATTCCTGGTGAGCTCTGTAGGCAGCCAATGTCAGTCACTCGGCATTGATATGAGATCTGAAATCTTTGCCATCTCTGACCCATAATCACACATAAGACCATGAACATTTAACCGAAAACATTAAGTCAAGAGCAGTCACAAGGGGTCGTATTTGATTGGGAGCCAGATGAAAAGAATAAATAATAAAAGAAAGAAAGTAAAGGCTTCCCAGTATTCTTGAGCTGGGGCTTGGAGTGTGACTAGAATTTAAATAGGCAGAAAGTAAGAAGGAGAGAATTCTTTGAGGGGAAACCATGTGAACAAAGGCATGGACTGCTTCAGAGCCTAGCATGTAACAGTTTGGCCAGAGCTGATGCTTCACATTAGGTCGTGGTTGGAAAGATGTTGGAGAGATTGAGGCCATTTGTAAGAGATCTTAAGGGCCCAACTAAGAAATTGAGATTTTATCCTATGGATTAAAGTCATGAACATTTTTGAGCAAAGGGATGATTTGACAAAACCATCATTTTAAGCAGAATAACTCCTCACTGATAATACAGGAAGAATTAACAGGGGGAATAATAAAGCATGTTAGGAAGTATTCTGTTCCCAGGCCTAAGGAGGTAGCAATTTGTTTTAAAGGACTACCAAAGGGAAACAAAAAGGAGACAAAAGGTCAGTTTAAACAAAGAAGACCTAGAATTGGATGACCAGATGGTTGTGGAGAGGCTAATAAAAGAGGAGGAAAAGAAAAGGGGTTAAGGATATCTCTGAGGTGTAACACTTCAGTGAATGATGGTACCTTTGAACTAAATAAAGGAGAAGGAGCTAGTTTTGGAGGAAACTTGATCTCTGTTTAGATAAGTGCAATTTGGGATGGCTCCACCATATTTTTTATCTTGCAAGGAAAAGGAAGCGACTTTGGCGTTTATCTGCCTTGGAACTACCGTAACTTGATATAAATACCAGGAACCATCAGTACATGCAGTACAGCTTTGACATCATATATCAAGCTCTGCAAAGACATCACTCTGTCATTTGGGTGATTACTTAATACTCTAGGTCTTTTGAATCTGATCCTTTAGCAAGTTTTGGTATTCTTTTTCCTTTCTGTACGAAGTATTTTTGGTTTTGTCGCCCTTATGTTTGTGGTGAGACTTTTTTGGCCCCATAGAGCTTTCCTTATTTTGTCTTTAAGAAAGTTAAATGTGGCATGTAAAACAAGATTTCTGCAGACAGTATCTTGCTTTGTTTTCAAAGGATGCAAGGCGTTGTAAACCGACTGTCCAACTTACTGAAACCTGGAGGAATGCTGTTATTTCGGGACTATGGAAGATATGATAAGACTCAGCTTCGTTTTAAAAGGGGTATATTCAGTTTGGAATTCTTTTCATGTGTTTTAAAGAATGCTTTGTTTATATTTTATGTCAAGTTTTTGTTTCGTTTTAAGGAATACTAAGTTTCTCTGATCACAATTATGTTTTTTAGGGCATTGCTTATCTGAAAATTTTTATGTTCGAGGAGATGGTACCAGAGCATATTTCTTTACAAAAGGTATGCTTATCTCTAAGGGAAAATAATTAGCTGTAAAAACTCTCTTTGGGGGGTGCCTGGGTGGCTCAGTCGTTAAGCGCCTGCCTTCAGCTAAGGTCATGATCCCAGGGTCCTGGGATCAAGCCCTGCATCGGGCTCCCTGCTCTGCGGGAAGCCTGCTTCTCCCTCTCCAACTCCCCCTGCTTGTGTTCCCTCTCTCGCTGTGTCTCTCTCTGTCAAATAAATAAAATCTTAAAACAAAACAAAACAAAACAAAACTCTCTTTGGTTACTCTGTAACCACACTGTAACTGTTCTATGTGAAAGCTTGAAAATGGCCTTTTTGTCTTTTAATCTTTTTCCAGTTGAAACTGCTTTAAAGAATTACTTGTTTCATCCTTATACCCAAATGAAGGTGTAGTCTGTTCCATTTGGGAAGTATGGTTAGCCCAGATATGAAAAAAAAATGACATGCCACAGCCAGAGGAGGGAATTTGATGTTAAGAGTCCATAGAAAATTACGTACCTCTTGTCAATTCCTCATTTTTAAAAAAGCATTTAAAATGAATTCTGCATTCAGGGATTTTCTCCAAACTTATGTGAGTACTTTTATAATGTGCCATTTGGGGTCTTTGCAAACCAACAAAAACTCAGAACAGAGGGCACCTTTCAAAATATTGAAATCTGCAACCAGTAGATTGTATATCCATTTATGCCTGCTATATTAAGCTGTTTATACTTGGTGTATTTCTGTGAAGTAGAAGAAGTCCACTTGGTTTCACAGGTTTCCTTAACCAATTTGTACTAGGGAGTTTCTTGGTATAAGTGAAATTTAGATGGTCAGTCATTCCATTAATATTCCATTGTCCCTGACTGTCCCCCTGTCCCCCACCACCATGCCCGTCACATATACACTTGATTGCCATTTTTGTCTCACAGGGGAAGTCCACAATATGTTCTGCAAGGCTGGGTTAGACGAGAAGCAAAATCTGGTTGATCGTCGATTACAAGTGAATAGGAAAAAACAAGTGAAAATGCACCGAGTGTGGGTTCAAGGCAAATTCCAGAAACCATTATACTTGACTCAAAAAACCTCTAAATTGGTATTTTCACTCCTTTCTCACGGCTGAATTATGTACCATGTTAAGGTACAAACCAGAGGATTACACTGTACAAAGACTTCCGTAGATCTTTCATTTTTGAAAGGACAATGAGAAGAAAAGAGAATTTGTATATCCTGCTATTTATCATGGGTGAGCTCTTTTATTTAAGCACTCATAAATGATTTGGAAGAGTACCATATTATGTGTTTTCAAAGCTTAATATGCTCAAGCTTGTTTGGGTTTATTATGTCTAACCATTTTGTTTGTACTTTGAATTTTATAAGCTTTCAATTAAATTACTGATATAAGTCAGATGATTCTGAGAAACCATACCCTGCCATTTTTTAGAAGTGCAAAAAAACCACTTGTTTATGCGTTAGTCTAACACAGTTAAACTCTCTTCCTCTCTTATCTGATACCAGGGAGGGAGCACTCCTTGTTTCCCTGGCAAGTCACAAGGCCTAGGTGAATTGTTTGTGTTCTTGTTGTCTGTTTTCCCCAAAACTCTTTTTTTTTTTTTTAAATTCAGAATCTAATGTCTGAAATAGAATTTTAGTTTCTCTTTCCTTTCCTAAAATTGGGGAAGTATGACCCCATGCTAAGATTATTTTCAGGCTATTCTTAGATGTACAAGTTGTTGTAAGCTCCCTTTAAGACAGCTGTTATACCCAAGACAATTCTTATTGCCACCTTGCCTCAAAAAGGATGTAAGTTGGCTTGCAAATTGCACTTTGTAAAAGTGGAGTTTCTGAGATTGGTTTTCCATTTGTTATACAACATATACTGAGTACTTACATTGTGCTAAATTATATGGACTAATACAGTAAATACAGACCCAGCCCCGTCTTCAGAGAGCATAGATAGGATCTGGCTGGCAAAGCAAAATGTGCCCATCCCAAGCCTCTAAATCACAATCTCAGATAATATATAAGCAGGTACTCAAATAGGGAACTTATTAGCTAGCACACTTTGGTTATGAGCCACAGAAATCTGGAAGAAATGGACAATCTCTTAAAGGACCATCACTGGAAAAATTCAGTTCTCACTGTTTTTCCATTTTGAATTCACGTAAAATTCTGTTTTCTGGAAGAATGTGATTGGTCCAACTTGGGTCATGGATTCATCTCTTGACAGTTTGGGGCAGGGCAGCTTCATTGACGGTGCCACCTGAATGTATGGAGTGGAGGAAAGTTCTTCAAAGGAAAATAAAAGACACTGTTATCAGAAAAAGAGAGGAGGGTTGCTGCCCGGTCACAAACAGCAGGAGCAATAGTGGTTCCAAAGAGAGAGAAAGATTAGCTGGTGGGAAGGAAGGGGGGAGCATCAGGTTCTGGGGGGCGGTGGGTGTCAGGCTAGTCCTTGATGGGGAGAAGACAAGTGTGTTTGGTGTGGGCCATTCCCGATGATGAATCGTGGAGAAAAGATGGGGTGGGGAGTCAGCTGCCAGACAGCCTTGAATAGAGGGCACATTGGGTTCTAATTCTCTAGTCTGGAGCGATCTGAGGTTGTATCCTACCCATGGCATGTTAAAAATATATTTAGAGAGATTGAGGCATCCTATGTGGAATGGAATGCAGTGAGGTCAGATATCAGGGCAAGGAAGACCAACCACATAAAGGTTTTTTGCATACACTTGCCTTGGTAGCAATTCCTCAGAAGTACAATATCAAGGTTTCGGTTTACATGGCATCAGTCAATAAATGCAGAAGTTAAAATGTGCCTGAGACTCTTCACTAAGTTGTATTTCATAATTAAAGTGTACATTTAAAAGCCAAACTAGTCACGAAAGTATAGCATACAACAAGGGCAGTTAGATAAGTTAATGTTGCTATGGGAACCCCAGCAGATCTTCTTGTGTCTCAATTTAAAAATCATGGCCTAAGGTGATTTTAAAAACAACAGAAGGTAAAATCGTTCTCTAATTCTCACACATGTAAATTGTACTCTCTCTCAGTCCTAAATAGCAGATTCAAACCAGGCTTTTGACTGGCACAGTAAAATTCAGCTTTGTGTCTTTCTATAATGTATTATAGCATGTAGTTAACCTTTAGAAACTTCAAAAATACATCACCCAAATTTGGACTGTGAGACACAAACTGGGCTCTTTTGGGCTCTGTCTAGCATAGACCTCCAATGCCACATGGCTGCTCGGTTAGGGCCATTTCTACCAGTGTCTTCTACTTATCTGGTCAGTCTTTCTCTTGCTTAGCCCACCTAAATCAGCCCCCTACTTAAAGTTTGCTGCTAGACAAAATATAGATTTTTGGCAGAGAGGGGGGGAAAAAGGAGAGAAAGACCTGATTAGGAATATTGCCTATTGATATTAAAAAATCATGAAGTGTTGCAAATGTATCTGCTTGGGTATTAGTTTAAAATATTTGATAACTGCATGAAATTCTAATTTTTTCCTCATGAACATAAAGCTAGGACCCGTTAGTTAGGCAGAGTTGAAGATTTAAAAATTCATCTTCTGAGGGAGCTGAATTTCAAAAGGACCGTTTTCTTTCTAACAGAAAAAGATGTTCCTTCGTCTTCTTACGACACAGAAACAATGAAATACTCTATATTAAAAACGCACCCTCCATTTTTCTCCACTTCTAAAAATTCACTTTTGAGCATTTTCCAAATGTAAAAACTCTTACACATGAAGAACTGTTTCAGAAGTTTGTAAGAAAGTCAAGGTAACAGTTTCTATCATTAAAAGTTTTGCATTCAGTATGACACATTTATCGTATTGAAACACCCAGTTAATGTTGACTTCTCAGAAATTATTTGCTTTGCTTGACTCATTTCCATATGCTTTGTCTCTAAATTATGAACACATCAAGGTTTCTACCATTCTGCAATCTAAATAGTTACTATACTCTAGTTTGTATGTGAAAACTCATCCATATTTATTTAGACTGCTAAACTTCAGGTAGATTAAATTCTTGCCCCCAGACTCCTATCCCGTGTTTCTATGGTTTTCCAACTCCTCAAAGCCAAGTTCTGAATCCTGAATATATCGCTCGTGGTTACTTCTAATTGGTTTTAATGTTTATTATGCTCCTCACAAGTACAGATAACTTCACATTTGCATCACTAATAGACCTCTTTCAGACCTCCGCTGCTCCTGCTTCCTGCCTCCATTAGTCATCAGTAGACGACAAGTTGGCTGGGTATTCCCCCCCACCCCCGACTTGTGAAAGTGCCTTGTAAATTCTAAAGCACTGAATATATGTGAGGTATTGTTATTAATACCAACATCTACAGTCTACAAGGCAGCATACAGAGTATTCCAGCAACAGAAACTTTTTCAGTGGTTTTATGAGACCCTGTGAGAAGGACAGTAAGATATGGTGGAAAAGTATTGCCTCAGAGTCAAACAGAAAGTATGGGTCTTGGGTTCCTTGTGAACCACTTAGCTACTCTTAATTTAGCAACCAGTGCTGAGTCTTTTATATACAATATTTTTATATATTACATTATTACTTCATTTAATCTTCAAACTCCTATGACTTCATTTCTATTCGGACCATTTAACAGATGAGACTGGGGCTCTGAGATTCGGGGTAACTTGCCCAGGATGTCACCGCCAATCCGTGGCGGAGCCACAGTTTGGATCCACAACTGTCTGATTCCAAAACCTCTAGTCTCATCAGCGCACTTTTAATCAATAGCTCACATGATGCTGGGAAAGCTGCTGGAGAAGAAAAAGAGCTCCTGAATCAAGCGGAGAATTATAGCAATGGGTAGGAGTTTGGATGAGACAATCTACAAGGTGACAGCTCATTCTAGATCCAGTGATTCTATGAAATAAGTACGTTGCACTTGTCCACAGTTAACAAACTGGGAAGGAAAAGAAGGAAAGGAACCGAGAGGAATGACAAAGAAAAGCTTTCAATCAGTTCTTTTCAGCATTCTGCATATGTTTACTTCTGCTCCCGCCCCACCCCCTTCAGGCTTCCACTTGGCTCCCCTCCGAGCGAGCGAGCAAGCGAGCCAGCTAGCGGAGCACCCATCGCTGGCATACTCCTCACTTACAGGGGGAAAAAAAAAAAAAAAAAGCAGTCTGAAAAAGCCCTTAAAATGTCTTCCAAGGGATTCAGCTTTAGTATAATGTAAAAGATGTGAATTCGGGGATTGTCAGTAATAAAATATGAGTGAAAACATCTTTATTTTAAAACATTGTATGTACATTAATGCCACATTAATGCCAATTCAAGCATAAAATGTTGAGCATTTCTTGGAATATGGTTTGGGATTTGAGAGGCACAAAGGTACCTGCAAGATGGCTTTGGTGTTGTTATAAATATAAATAGAAGTAAAATAACAGTTGCATCTTCATTTATAATGAATCTTATATTGTGGCTTCAAAGCTACAGAAGAAAGTGGATGCCAAAATCTGTCTTTCATTAACATATGCCTTACATGACAGGGAAGAGGTGTTGAAGACAAAATTACTTTTCCCTCTGAGTATGAATCAGCAACATGCAGTAACGAGTAATAACAGTTCTGTGTATGAGTGCCTGCAGAAGGTAAGAAAAACAGCCTCAAATTGAAAATGCAAGTGCACCTGCTGGAGAGGCCCAGGAGGCTGCAGAGCACAGCCCCCTTGAGCACCCTCCTGAAGTGTCTCCGAGCACAGTGACCCCAACTCTGGCAAGCCATGCTGGCTTGAGATGAACGGAACACATTAAAACCTCCAGATGGTCAGAGAGAGCCCACCCTCAGCTGCCCTTGGGGCTACAAGGCACTACTTGTTCAAGAGTTTAAAACAGCTGCTTTGGATTCTGTAGCGCATGTGGTTTCACAACCACTTAACCTTTAGTAAGGAACAGCTAGAGGCAGGTGAATGAATAAAAATACACGTTAACATTTCATAAGGAGGAAAAAAAAATCAATACTCGAGGAACTCATGGACTTCAAATAGTCACAAATAGCGTCCAGTTAGCTGTGTCCCTGGCTTCCCAGGGATTTGCGTCTTTATCTTTGATTTTCTCCAGCAGATAGGCACTAAGTTGAGCCTGGGCCCCAGAAAATATATGCTTTTCTATCAGATGTTGCCTACCAAGTCAAGTGAGCCATTGATAGCCTCCTAAAAAGCCCCCAAGCATCATCTCTCCAGCTTGGGCTGATGGGTTTGGTCCAGGGAAACTACGAGTTTTGTTATGCTTATACAAATTCTTTGGCAGTTCTTTCAATCTATTGCTCCTTTATGTGACACTTCCTAGCTCATTGAAGAAAAAGCAAAAATGAATTTTCTTTCTCAGTTTATCTTTATGTATTGGTGATTATTGGTTCTTTCAAAATCATTGAGGAATGGCACTTCAAGTCT